CCAAGCCAGGGGAATACAGCAGCAGAAACACGGTGAGCGGGCTCAGCCTCCCAGTTCAACAGTGGTGGGAGAATCGTTTGTTGCTGCTCAGCGTCCATTGATGGGTGCCTGAACCCAGGTAACATGCTCTGCGACTTCCTCTTGGGCGAGAACCTTAGTTCTTGTCCTGAGGCAGCGCGCAAACAACGGCCAGAACATGTGTGCATCATGCCGGGTATTCGTGCATTCGACTAGCAGCTCACCCATATGGTAGCTACAATTGCTGCGCAACTGCCAATGAGCTTTGATCGACATCTAGAGCACTGCTTTCAACAAGTGCTCATGACAGGCCTGTCATCTCAGGCCCACGGCCCTTCTCCAATAGGAATGCTGCGTGGCCAGCGGAAAAGGGCCGACATTAGTGACAGACCTGGGAGACAAACGAATAGAAATTCTACATGGCCAGCGGAAAAGGGCGGACACCAGAGCTGTGGGAGCAGAGGCATGGCAGTGCTGGATGCCCGCTTCGGTAGTAAGATACCTTTCGAAGTTGCCACTTGCTCAACAGTGTCACAGCGCCTGGCTGTGTTGATTTTGGCTATTAAAGTCTTCGCCGAATGCAGCTCCCTTGCCAGCGAAGGAGTCGCGAATCAATTCTGTAGTTCAACCAAATTCGGGCACTATCTCTTTCGAGATTGCATCAACCTAGCCACCTTTGTCCTGCAAGAAACCAATCATCAACAGGAGCCGCAAGCTCGGATAGAGGCCAGGGAGCTGTCGCAAGGGTGTCTAAGCTCTGCTGGAACAGTCACACTGGAGCTTACGCGGGACTTCCACGTACTGGGGGCGCATGCCTTTTTTGCACGGGTGGAGGCGCTATGTGTGCCGAGAGGCGCAAGTCACCTTGATTGAATTAAATAGGGACGCTAAGGAGATACAAGCCAGGCATCAGAGCAAGGCGCCACACCACAACCAACCAACAAACAAACAACCCAAAACACAACCAACCAAAGCAGCAAGGTTCGTATCTCAGAAGGGCTGTGTAAGCCGAAGCAAAAGTTGAGTGAAAACCGGTGAGACGGGGCTCTGAATTCATTCTTCTACTTGCGCTCAGTACATGATGACGTGATGGTCAGGCAACAATGATATTCCTCTCTGCGGGCAGTGAGTTTTCTGTACGGCAATGATGATCATCGCCCATGTGTGCGAAGGGCACCCAAGAATGTGCAGAAGAAAAGTACTGGGGGCGCATGCCTGTGACAATTGTAAACTGCTGAAGAAAGTCGACCTTTCGAACACAAAGATTGAAGAAATCCAGGAACTTACTTTTGTGCACTGTACCAGCCTTTGTGAAGTCAGACTGCCAAATACGCTCCACACCATAAGGGTTAAAGCCTTCATGATTTGTGCTGCACTGCCAGAACTCGCGATACCGCCCTCACCACACTACATTGCCAGCAGGGTCTTTCTGGACTGCACCGCACTCCGCAGGCTTGTCAAACTCCCAGGCCGGCATAAATGGAGAGGAATACATGCAGAAGAAAATGCTTTTTTGCTATTTGCCCAGCCATGCGATGGCCACCGTGGTTGCGTATGATTCCTGACATTGGCTGCGTGTCCGGCTTAGCGTAAGGCATACTTCTCCAACTGTTCGAGAGTGAATTAGGCTCCGACAAGCAGAGAGCATCGCCATTCTCGTCTTCGTCGTCTGCAACCTTGTGAGCCTACCGGGATGGGAGCCTTAGCTCTTGGTCCTTGGGAGGCAGGTGGTAGCAGAGTGGTGGATGAATGGCGCCCAGGTGAGAACCTTAGTTGCTCGTCTGCAGGAGCCTAACGCAGCCAATCTTGTACAGAGATGGCACAAGTACCATGCTAGGATAGGTCTTAGTTTCACCAGTTTCACATGGGCAAACTGATTGTCGCCTGTCTCAACCTCAATCGTCGCAATCCAAGTGCCAAATACTTGTGCGAAACCAATGCAATTGCCATTCAGGTGTCAATGCGTGCCAATCCGAAGCTGTTGCTTGCAAGGCCGTGTTCTTTGAAATAATCACAAAATTGCCCAGCTGCGTAAACGCTCCCACTTCTTCTGCACATTCTTGGGTGCCCTTCGCACACATGGGCGATGATCATCATTGCCATACAGATACTCACTGCCCGCAGAAAGGAATATCGTTGTTGCCTGACCATCATGTACTGAGCGCAAGTAGAAGAACGAATTCAGAGCCCCGTCTCACCGCTGCTTTGGTTGTTTGTGTTTTGGGTTTCTTGTTTGTTGGTTGGTTTTGTGGTGTTGGGCCTTGCTCTGGCGCCTGGCTCGTATCTCCTTAGTGTCCCTATTTAATTCAATCAAGGTGACTTGTGCCTCTCGGCACACATAGCGCCTCCACCCGTGCAAAAAAACACCAGTTTCACATGGGCCATGCGTGTTGAAGGATAGTGACTCCAAAGCACACTATCAGACGGAAAAGTGAACACCCCCTGTGGTCCCTTTGGCTAACGCGTGGGAGCCATTGGGGGGAGTGTTGTGCCTCCCTTGTAGGAGGGAAATCAGCACTGGATCTAGCAGTTCCTTTGTTGCAATGTCTTTCACTGCCATACTCAAGATTAGCCTCTGCTTTTCGTACGTGCAGACAGCAAGATGGGTTGTGCTACGGAAAGGGAATTTTCCACGGCTTGCCTAGCTTTGCAACCGATGACTTTGTGGCATTTGTCATCATTTCACTGCTGATATTGCTCCTGGCACCTTGCATCATGTCAAGATACTTCGTGCGCCAAAAACCATAAGTGGCTTGGATGATCTCATCCGAGCCAAGGGAGAGAGGCCACCTTTGATTGGCCAGTCAGAACAACCGCCCACGATCAAAAGCATTTTGCCTTTCGTAGTGAATTCAGGCCCTTAGCTATTTTGCAGCTCGTCAACTTTTCACCTGTCTCACTCTAGTACAGAGGAAACACTGCTCACATTGGCTTGCGGGCCTTCATTGTGTTTTGTTGTCTGGGTTCTTGGGTTTGGGGTTTTGGTTTGCTGTTTTTGGTGTTCTTCCCCCACCAACTTGCAGTGTCTCCATACTTTCTATGATGACCTGGGCACACCGCCCACACGGCGTCCGCACTCGTGGAAAAAAAGCGGAAAAGGGCGGACACCAGCAGTGACACAAAGGGCGGACACATCTAAGAAAGAATTGAGAACCCAAACAGCAAACTTTTTGGGGAAATATCTCCAGACTTGTCAAAAAACATCTGGGCGCGGCTCAGCTCAGTGCGTGGTTTCACTTGTTTTAAACCCAGTTCACCCAACGTTTGATTGTCAATGATCGCCGTGGTTTTCCAAATCAACATTGTTCGACAACCTGTTGTGGATGCGTCTTTGTGGTTGTGTGTTTGTGATTTTGTCTTTGAAGTTGTGCTTGTGGTGTGTGTTTGTGGTTGTGCGTTTGTGTCTTTGTGGTCGTGTTTGCGGCCATGTGTTTGTGGTGTGCGTGTATGTGTTTGTGATTGGCGTTGTGGTTGTGTGTTGTGGACATGTCTCTGTGGTTGTGTGGTTGTTGTGTTTTTGTGGGTGTTTGCGGTTGTTTGTTTGTGGTTGTGTGTTGTGGTTGTGCAGTGGCTGCGTTTTGTGGCTGTGCGCTGTGGATGTTTCTTTGTGGTTGTGTGTTGTGTCGTGGTTGTGTTTGCGGTTGTGCGTTGTGGTTGTGTGTTGTGGACATGTCCCTGTGGTTGTGTGCTTGTGATTGTGTTTTTGTACTTGTGCTTGTGGTTATTTGTTTGTGGTTGTGTGTTGCGGTTGTGTGCAGCGGTTGTTGTGCGTTGTGGTTGTGCGCAGTGGTTGTGCGCTGCGGTTGTGTGTTTCGGATGTGTCTTTGTGGATGCGTGTTTGTGATTGCGACTTTGTAGTTGTGTTTGCGGTTTTGCATTGTGTTGTTTTTTTGTGGTTGTGCGTTGTGGTTGTGTGCTGTGGGTGTGTTTTTGTGGTGTCTGTGTGTTTGTGATTGTGTCTTTGCGGTGATGCGTTTGTGCTTGTGTGCTGTGGTTGTGTGTTGTGGTTGTGTGCTGCGCTTGTGTCTTTGTGGTTGTGTCTTGTGGTTGTGTGCTGTGGTTGTGTGTTGTGGATGTGTCTTTGTGGTTGTGTGTTTGTTGTGATGGTGTCAGTGTCTTTGTAGTTGTGTTTGTGTGGTTTTGTTTGTTGTGGTTGTGTCCTGCGGTTGTGTCTTTGTGGTCGTGTGTTGTGGTTGAGGTCCGGCGGGGAAAACTGCCGTCGGGACTTGGCGGTTGAGGTCCAGCGGCGAACAGTGCCATCCGACGCTTGCGGTTGAGGCGGTTGAGGAGGCGAGGCGGAGAAGGAGGAGAGGACGCGAGGCAGTTGACAAAAAATCTAACAATCCTCACCGGACAGGTGGGGAAGTACTGATCTTGGAGGAGAAGCAAGACCACAATGAGTATGACCAATCTTGATAGGACTATGGACCAGGCAAAGGAATGTGAGTGCAAGTAAGCCGAGTTGAGTGGAGCGAGTCGAGAGTCCCGCGTCGCGTCGCGTCGAGCCCATTGGAGTCGAGTGGAGCGAGTGAGTGAGTGAGCGAGCGAGCGAGTGAGTGAGTGACAGGAGTGAAAATGAATGAAGCGGGTGAGAGCGCAGGCGCGCGGAAGGCAGGCGGACGTAAGCCAGCCGACCTCGCGGACAACGGTGAGTGAGTGAGTGAGTGAGCGCAAGGAGGAGGAAGAGGAGCAGGAGGAGGAGGAGGGATGAAATGACTGTACCCCACACAAAGATGTGGATGTGGGGAACAACTAGCCTCCCACATGTTTGTTGTTGCCGAACTTGGGCCTCGGGCATTTCTTAAGCGTGAACATGCCCATAACAGCACGTCACCATTTTCCTTGTGCACTTCCTACCGGCACTTCTCTTGCGGACATGAAACAAAGTTGTCACTGGTCGACGACGTCGACGATCCTTTGAGTAAATTTCAGTTGTCCAAAAGGGGAAGCAAAGACCACTGGCACCGGTGTGGGCCGTGGACAGAGTTTGGCTCAGCACAGATGCTTTAGACTCTAGACTCAGCAGTGGCCGGGTGATGAGGTCTGATGCTGAGCCGACTTCGCCGGACTCCAGGGTAGTTAGGCCAAATCTTTACCGCAGACAATGAATCATTCCACACGATTTGCAACCTACACCACCAACAAAAAAAACTTCAAGGTCAAAAAACATTTCTTTTCCAAGGTCCCATACCTTTTTACTACTTGGTTTTCTTCACAGAAGATAAAGCTTTACGTCAGGATTGTCAGGGGACACATTTTTGTTTTGATCCTGGCCGCTGTTGGTTTTGATGACGTCCATACGCTCCTCTTAAGAGGCGTTGGAGACGCCAACAATTTTCCAGGTCATGCTGCTTCGTATCCTTCTGGCTGGCCTGGCCCTGTTAGCTGCAGTCTACATTCTGAAGGCCCTTGGGTGGCGGCTCGTCGAACGCTCAGTGGATGAGGAACCAAACCCGACATTCTGTTTTTAGCTGTTGGCATTCCCTGAACCTTCCATCCCTGAGATTGGGAAAGTTGAGGGAACCATACAATACCATGTGACCAGGACGTTACCTTTTAATTTCACCTTGGCAGGCATCACTCCTGCAACTCACTGACGAGGGCATAGAAGCGGAGTCATGGGATGCAGGTCAGATCGAGTGACGAATGTTGGAGAGCACAGTCTCTAGCAACTCTTAGGTTGGAGGTCATCGCTCTTAGGTTGGAGGCTTTTTGCTGCAGGCTGAACTCGTAGCATTTCTTTGTTTTTTCCTAAGGGCAGACTGGCTTCAAAGCTAATGAGTAGGACACGAACGAACATGTTATTTTCCGATCGTGGCGAACCATGGCACGTGTTGAAAGCCGACCTCACGCAACCTAACAGATTTCCAAAAACCTTTGCAGACCAGACCTGCGCTAGACGACTCACAGAGCCAAGCGGAAAGTATTGCCAAGACCATTCCAGCCTGTCTGGACCACACGAAGCAGAGCAGCAAAGCCGCCTTTTCAGCGCCTGGACGGTGCACATCTCCAGCCCCGCAAAAGGCCCTTTGCACCCGCGAGCGCCTGGAACATCGATTACTTGCCTACAATGTTTGCATTCTCTTTGATTCAGCTTAGCAACAGGAAGGCTGTTTGTTCGACTTGTGTGCTGTGGCACAGTGTTTCTCCCGTGCCAGGTGGAAACCTCAGTGACCTGGACCTTGCCCAGAGAGCTTTTAGGCGAACGTTTCACGGTGGATTTTTTTGGCCGTTCTGTTTGTTGAATTGCATTCTTGCTACTAGTAGAAATTCCAGGAGCTACTAGTAGCGTCCTTGCTACTAGTAGCATGCCCTTTGATACTAGTAGCTTCTAGTTTGCATACATTGAATTGTATTGATTTTGAATTTAAATTTGGTAGTTTGTCTCAATGCAAAGGCTTCAAATTGGTTCAATGTCGGTGTTGTGGTGTTACCCATTTTGTTTCATGTGTCAGAACTGGCGACGATGACAAGGCGGGATCGTGTTCATTTGCTGCAATTGCACTCTTAGACATGCTACGTCATGTCTTCTCAATCCGCAGACTTTATGGTGTTGGCTCTTTGTGGAGAACATACAACTTGCTAGACACGGCATTGGCATTCTGCACCCGCACAATTCTTTGAGTCCTTGGTGCCTCCAGAACCAAAAATTATACAACTTGTGACATCTTTCTCCTTTCGTGGCTTGGGAATTTGTGTTCTAAATTGCCCACACGACTGTGTTCACTTCGTTTTGTGTTCAATTCGTTGTTAAGCACTTTCTTCCTTTCTGGAAGTTCTGAGGTCTTGGACTTGCCCTTGTAAGACTTGTAAGATTTCTATTTGTATTACTTTTTTTCAATTTTCTTTCATCTACTGATGTCCTTTGGACCTTGATCAACTTCAGACCTTTATTTTTTATTTTTCTCTTTTTGTCTTGTAAAGGAACACTTTCTTCAAAGGCCTCAGGTCTATAGAATCCCAGTCTTTGATCGACCACTTTCACAAAGAAGCACGTCGCAGGGCGTGCCTTCATTCATGCCTTAGACTCAAAAAGTCGACACTTTGTTCAAATTAAAGGAACACTTAGTAGTAACAAGTGCCTTACTAGTAGTAACAAGTGCCACGCTAGTAGTAACAAGTGCCTTACTAGTAGTAACACAAAGCTATTAGAATTAGAATAGAATTACTTTCTTTCTTTTTTTTTAAAGCTTCTACTAGTAAAAAATTGTGTGGGAACCACATGAATAGTGTGAGCTGAAGAGCTGCGTCAGACGTTGGTAGCTTACTTAAGCATACTAGCATTTACTAGCCACCTCTCGGTCTACCTGGCGTACCCCGTCTCCGGCCTGAAAATATGAAATAGATATGGTGAAATTTCATTTCAAGTCTTCAACTAAAACCTTTGAATTGCATACAAAGCTTCTTGTTACTAGTAGCGATGGCCTCCAACCTGATAGCGATGGCCTCCACCGAGACAACTGCCCTGTTGGTCACTTCGCTGAGGCCTTTGCCCTACTCACCGCCTGTTTGAGCGACGAGGTTCGGTTAGAGCGACGTGTGGGTGGGCACACCTTGTGGAAGACACTCCAGCCCTAAGGCCTTCTCCTCCAGCCTTAAGCAATGAGTGGTGTTGCTGTCCCAAAATGTTTAAGCAATGAGGCGGCCTCGTAGTGATTCACCCAAGTACTTTGGGGGCTGAAATCGAATGGAACTTGCACGATGCGCAGGAGAAGTCGCAGCTAGATGCGGCTGCATGCAAGACCTTGCTTGGGGAGCTGTACTTTGTCGGAGGAGGGGTGCCTCGAAATCTCACGAAGGCTGGAGATGAATCGATTTGAAAGAGAGAGTACATTGAACACAACCAACATGTGTGTAATTCAGCTCGAGAGCTATTTTCAATGCAGGTTCTTGGTTTTCTCAATCTCCAGCTGGCAGCTGCTAGGCAAAAGAACTTTGGGAGGAGGCAGCAGAGGTAGGGGAGCCAGATGCCCAGTACAACCTGGGCATCCTCTATGCGAACATGCCAGCTTCCAATGCCGGCCTGGCACCTTATGTCCACCTTTGCTGATTCAATCTTTCGTTTCAATCTTTTTAGTTTCCGTTTCGAAACAAACCAAGCCGCAGCTGCAGCCAGCCCCATCCATTTCAAAACCCATTTTGTCGGGTGTTGATAAAGATGCCACGGGCCTCCAACCTAATAGCGATGCCACAGAGAAATAGAGACAACATTAAGCCTGAACAAACAGACGTCATCCACCGTTTTGCCAAAAGGCTTGGTCACTCCTTCCGAGCTGTGCCACATTGCCAGGATCAGCTGCGCCGAAATGAGGCTGCGGGCTCCAGCAGGGGTTTCCCGGGGCCTATGTGGCCATCGTTTCAACTCCTGGCAAGAACATTTCTTGCTTTGTTCTTCTCTTGGGACCTTTTGTCCTTTCTTTTTCCTTCTTTCCGTTTCTTTTCTTCTGTTAGACCTTGCCTTGCTTATTTCCTTCTTTTATTCTATCCATTCTTGAGAGTGTTATTTTGAACTAAAACCTGAGACACTTTGCAAACGTGCGTTGGTGATTCACCTTGTCTAGTGAGCTTGGTAGGCTTTGGCGGTCTTGTACCTTTATGCCGCATCAACAGCAGGCCATGCCTTCGATTTATCCTCGACTTGTTACAACATTGTCGCCACTACAAACATGTCTGCGATGATGCCAGGACATCCGGGTGCTTTGATGGCAATGGGATATAGACACCTCCACGGCTACGGTGTTCCACAGGTCTGCAAACAGCTTTCGGGCCCGCTATGCGCAATGGAAACCAACATAAGCCTCATAGTGAGGCATTCGTGCGACTTCACGGCGACATAGTTGCTTCACCTGAGAAAGCTCATGTGTCTTCATTTGCTGGCCTTTATTGTTGTGACATGATAGGCCCCTGCCAGGCTTGCAGTACAGCAGCCTTGAACTACATCGATGTGGCCAAGGGCGTGGCTTCCATCTACAGTTCAGGGATGCCACAGGCGGTAGAGCTTGTTCGACTGAACCTGCCGCATAAGGATAGAAAGGTCTCCCGGCGGATTTGCTGGATTGCGGGGTTTAGTGTTGTGTTGTGTAAGTTGTGGGTTGTTTTGGTGGTTTCAGTTTCTTTTTTGCAGAACGTTTGGAAGATCCTTGTCAAGAACGAAAAGGCCAGCATCGGAGTCCTCAGTGTACCCTCCGCTCTCCGATTTTCAGGTTCTCAGCTCATCGGAGTTGAACCTCTTTGTGCAGATTGCCACCAGCGGCGACAGTACGGTCGCAGCAGCGATTGGTAAACGGTATCTCTTGGGCATCGAAGGTTTTAAGCAGGACTTCCAGAAGGCACCGGATGCCAAGCAGGATGCAAAGGGCAGCAAAGCATGGCAATGGCACGAAATGAAGATGAGCATAGAGATCGTAGGTCAATCATATAGAGTCAGTTCATTGTTTTGCCAGGCTTTTTCTTGCTCAAATTCACTCATGTCACTTTTCCATCAGGCCAAGCAGTATCTCAATCTTGCAGCTGAGCGACACCATCCAGGAGCTTTAGCACTTCTTGGCTATATCTACTGCCTAGGCAGCCAACCTGTCGAAGGGCTCTAAAAAGGGCTTTGGGACGGACATGTGACACGATTTCTGTTTCTAGGAGAGTCTCACTAGCATATTCAAGGTCGGAGGTCGAGCAACGTGCGGAAAACATCAAGGTCCCTCCGTTACAAAGCCCATGCAATGGGATTCTTTAAAGCCCTTACTCCTCGCAACAGGTTGGAGGCCATCGCCCCTTAACACAACAGCATGGCCGATGGCCATCGCATGCGAGACACGGCCGCCGTGAGGCCTTGGGACGCCGGTGAACTTGGATACGGCCTATGCCTACTTTGCGACGGCGGCGTCACACAATGACCCGTTAGGTCACAATGGCCTTGGCTATATCTACTTCCGAGGGACCAATGCTCAGGCAGTTGGGAAAGGGGAAGCAAAGGAAAGGAAAAGGAATAGGAAAAGGAATCAAAAGACGAACAAGGTCTGAGTAAAGGGAAAGATGAAAGAAGAAAGGAACAGACCAAACGAAAGAAATACAATAGTTTTGAATGGGAGAGCTTCCTTTGAGGCTCGCATGGCCTTGCTTTAAGATACAGTTCGCTGATTTTCGAGAATCTTAGAATCTTGCAACAACAACTAGAGGGATGCACATGTTCACACGTGCGCACAGCGAAACTAGGTGGGTGTGAGAAGGGCTGTGCAATTATGTGTCAGGAGTTGCCACGTTTGAGGCTCTCTGTGTGTGTTTGTGTGCGTGTGTGCAAGGTTCCAAAGGGCATATGAGCAGGGTAGCGTGTGCGTACAAGGTTTTTCTGCAAAGAACTACCTTGAATGAGTGTATTGAATTATAGCCTGTGACCTTCTGAAGCCGCAAGCGAGGCAATGCTTGCGCCTTTCAGACTGAATGTAGTGTTCCAGGGGCTCCTAGTACCCCTAGTAGCTTCTTGTTACTAGTAGCGATGCCAGGAGCCCCTAGCAGCGTCCGTGCAGTAGTAAGGCTGAGCGGCTGGATGCTTGACATGCGTGGAACACTTGCTATTCTTGGGGGGGGGCTCCTTGGGCCTTGATCGAGTGAATGCACGCGCGTCAGGGGAGTGCGGATGTAGTGGTACTAAATACATTGGCCACCAAGTCTTTTCTCTCTCAACCTTCGCTAGCAGGTTGGAGGCCATCGCTAGTAGGTTGGAGGCCGCTAGTAGGCACTACCAAGCTCGCTTTTCATTTCGCTTGTTTCCTCAGGGACGGAATTTGAAGCTGGCCTTCAGCCACTTCAACGAGTCGGCCTACGGCGGTTCGTCCGATGGAATGTTCAATCTGGCGAGCATGTGCGCCCAGAGCTGGCTCTGCTTGGTTCTTATGCCAAGCCACAACAACTGAGGTACCTCACTGGTACGGCTGTCCAGGAGTCATTCCAAATGGCTGTGCTTTACTATGCTCAGGCATGGAACACTTAATGCATAGCTTGGCACAAAAAGAAGAAAAGAAGGAGGGAAGGAAGGGCTACACAAAAAGTGAAAGAACAAGGACAAGAAAGGACAAGAAAAGACAAGAAAGGACGAATGGCAGTTCTTTTTTTTGACTTGCAGTTCTTCAAGGCGCTAGATCGGGGGCACACCCCGGCTGCTTACTCTTTGGCTGTGATGCATCTCAACGGCATCGGGTCCGCGACTCAAAAAACGGATCCAAAAGACACAGAAGAAGCAGGACGCTACTAGGAACAAGTGCATCGCTACTAGTAACAAGTGCCTTACTAGTAGTAACAAGAACGCTACGTTCGGGGCTCCTGGCCTTACTACTAGGAACAAAGGACGCTACTAGGAGATCAAAGAATAGAATTCAATAGAGAAGGCCTTGAGAAAGAAAAAGCCGGGGATTGGTGCCTAGCGTGGCTGCATGATAAATCAGGACAGTACGAGACTGTGACATCGCTGTCAACCTCTTAAAGAAGGCCTGAGTGGATGCCATCGCCATTCACTTATGTTCTTCCCTTGCTTTGCGGAGTTGTTGCAATCCCAGGGTAGATAAGTTCAACGCTCAACGCTGCCTTTCTTTTCTTTCTTTTCTTTCTTTCTTTCTTTCTTTCTCTCTCTCTCTCTCTCTCTCTTTATTCTTTCGTATTCTCTTCTTTTTGCCTTTTTAACATCTAGATTCAAGGTTAAATACTTCGAAGGGGCATCCTCACACTTAGACTGGACAGGTGTGCGAGCGAGGAGAATGGGTCTCCAGCAAACTGGTTAGTGCCTATGACTTCGGCCCGGCGCTTGGTGGCCCATGCTTCGTTGCTTTGGCGACAAACATCCGAGCACCTCGACCGGAGTGAAGTGAGGCGACAAACATCCGAACAAAGCGGCGTTGATGTTTTTGAAGCTCGCGGAAGCTGGGCACGAGGCCAGTGCAGAAAACACACGGCCAGCAATGCGATCCGGAAGTGCGTGCGCAGCGCATCGCATGCATCGCATCGCATTGCATCCCACAGGTCTCGCAGATGAATGTGGCCTATCTATTTGACAGTGGGCATGCCAACTTGTTCTCACCTGAAGAAGGTGCCGCTATGGATGCGGCGCCATATGCCGTTTCTTGTGAGAGCTTTGATGTTTTGGATGCCTTTACCCCTTGCTACTAACCAAAACACATGTTTGGCATTCAATCAAGTTTCAAAGGCCCTGTGAGTGCAGCTAGGTGAAAAACCGCCTGCTAAAGCGGACGATTACTTTTGGGAGGACGGATGTGTTTTGCCGCCTTCACCATGACTTAGTGCAAGGGTGCTCCGCTCGTACGCTTTTTCTGCTTGTGAGGACGACTCAAGATCATTTGGGCGGAATATCGCACAGTTCCCTGGATGAAAACCGTTTCCGGCGATGGAGACCGTTCATTTGCGTCGTGAGGCGATTCTATGAGATGTCCGCGGAGCAAGGAAGCGCTTCCTCAGAGCTCCGCCTCGGCGATTATGCCTACTATGGCTGCTTAGAATGAAGATGGATTTTCTCCGCCGTTTCTTTGTTTTTCTTGTTTGTTTTTCTTCTTTCGGACTTTTAGACTTTTCCTCTTTAAAGAGCCCCTACTGATACTGTACCTTCCTTTTCTTGTTATAAACCGTTTCTTGTTTGTTAAGAGAAAGCGATCTAGAATGGCTCGATCTAGAATGGCTTACAATGGCTTGCATTTAAGTAGCCACTAATACTGGCTTGGGTTCCTCGTCAAGAGCGCCACTACGGGTGGCGAACTTTGAACAAAAGCACTTTCTGGCTGGTGCAAAGAAAACAACGGAAGATGAAAAAGGAAGGTAAGGGTCTAAGTTGCCCCTCTAAAGTGGCCTTATCTGTCTTTCCATTTCTTTACCTTCTTTGCTAATTATGTCGCTTCGCAGAACAGGCGATGGCAGGCAGTGCAACGAGTCTGTGTGAACACCAAAAAGCTCTTTCCGCAGCAGAGATTGGCAGATGACAACCTACTAGCAATGGCCTCCAACCTAAGAGCAATCGCCTCCACCCTACTAGCAATGGCCTCCACCCTACTAGCGATGGGTTATCCCTTCCAAGAGGGGGTTTGTAATGGTTTGTAGTTTGTACGGTATTTGCGATGTTCTTGACAGCGTTGAAAACACAGCACAAACCAATGCTTGTATTTACACACTTTTGGCACTCTCCGAGGGCCAAACCCTGCAAATATCTCTGCAAGCCACAATGCATCACAATGTGCAACGCACCGCTATTTATAGTGTTTTTGAATTCTAAGTTTCAATCTCCCCGATATTTGCGATGGCTTCGGTAGTTGTTGCAATCTGTTTCTGCCTTTTGCATGTTGGAGACCACGTGCGTCACAAGACACGAAAACACAGCAACTTACCCCATACAGAAAAAGGCTTCACGCAAAGCATGGAAACTCACTGTCAACTCTTCAGAGCGCTCTCCCCCACGGCAGGGTGAGGTGTTGGAATGCGCCCCCATATCTTGCGTTGCTGTGGGTATTGCAGTCGTTTTTGCAACAGTCCTGTTGTTTTGCCGACCGAGGCTGGGGCAAGTCAGCCAGCTTTACAGAGACGGCATCGCCTGATGGAGATAAGCACGATCAAGGTGTCGCACCTTTATAGGAGTTTTCAAACCTTAATGCTTGGACATTGAGTGTTTTGGAAAGTCCCTCAGGCTTCTTGACTTTGTTTGTGTGTTTGGCATCATTTGCATGACACCTGTTGCTGTCAGGTGAAGATTGGCTTGATTTCCCTTTACCGCCGTCTTACAACATAGAGCTTCGACCTCAACCCGTTGACTATGAGGCAGCTTTGGCGAGATATCGCAAAACTGCTGACTTAACCGTCACGGGCGAATGGATGCAATCCTTTGTGGCGAGAGCTTCCTTCAATCTGGGCTTCATGCATCAGTTCGGCATCGGCATTGCACAGGACATCATTCTTCCGACAAAATATGCCATGAAGCAGTAAAGACGGAACACAAGTACATGAATTCGCAGACTTGAAAGAAACAAAGCATTGCACCTTTTGTTTATGATTCATGTCTTCTGGACCTCACGAGTTTAATCTGAACCAAGGTTCAGATTTCAGGCTTTGTGAATCATCAAACACGGTGTAAAACATGCAGCTGAAAGTAGCCAGCACTAGCTGAGTCATGGACCGGGTCAGTTTTCGGTGTCAGCTAGGAACAAGTGCCTTACTAGTAGTAACAAAAAGCTATTAGAATTAGATTCTAATTATTGTTTCTAATTTCTAATGGGCTCCCCTTTTTTTTGACCCGCGCACCCTTTTTTTCTGATCCCCCCTTTTTTTCTGACCCACAACCCTTCTTTTCTGACCCACAACCCTTCTTTTCTGACCCACAACCCTTCTTTTCTGACCCACAACCCTTCTTTTCTGACCCACAGGCCTTCTTTTCTGACCCCCAACCCTTCTTTTTTGACCCACAACCCTTCTTTTTTGACTCCCCAGCATTCCGTGACCAATCCTTTTTTTCTGACCCACGGTCCTTTTTTTTTTGACCCCCGCAATCCGTTCTTTCTGACCCGCGGTCTTTTTCTTTTGACCCCCGCAATCCTTCCGTTTGGACCCACGAACCTTTCTTTCTGATCACCAAGCCTTTTTTTCCAACCCACGGCGCTGTTGTCTTTGACCCCGCAAAACTGTTGGACCCGCAGCCCGTGTTGCGTGACCTCGTACACCCCGGGCACGCTCTACCGAGAGGAAGCAAATTCTTTCTCCTTCTGCATCCCTCTCTTCTTCATCTGAATGACGGTGCTGTCTGTGTGATCCAATACTTTCACAATCCCATTTTTTCTGACCCCCGCACCCTTCTTTTCTGACCCACAACCCGTCTTTTCTGACCCGCAATCCTTCTTTTCTGACCCACAAACCTTTTTTTTCTGACCCCCGCAACCCTTCTTTTCTGACCCCCACACCCTTCTTTTCTGACCCACAACACGTCTTTTCTGACCCACAATCCTTCTTTTCTGATCCCCGCTTTTTTTCTGACCCCCGCAACCCTTCTTTTCTCACCTACAACCCTTCTTTTCTGACCCACAACCCCTCTTTTCTGACCCACAAACCTTCTTTTCTAACCCACAACCCTTCTTTTCTGACCCACAACCCTTCTTTTCTGACCCACTACCCTTTTTCTGACCCGCGGTCTTTTTCTTTTGACCCCCGCAATCCTTCCGTTTGGACCCACGAACATTTCTTTCTGACCACCAAGCCATTTTTGCTTCGTCTTCAACATACTGCCTAAAGTCGTTGCTGGTAACCGCCCCTTCGTCGTCAGTGTATATGATTTGGGGTTTCTTTCCCATCTTCTGTAGTGCCTCCATGGTTCCTGCTATGACGTCAGGAATTTCTTTACTCTCAATAGGAACTACCACCGCGTATATACTTAGAACGTCAGTGGCGACCAAACCACCCCTGAATTTCTGTGGAAAACATATACCTATTTGATATGTGTGATTATTATTAGATGCCACGAATGAGTTGTACAATTTAAAGAAGGAAGTTGCCATTCCAAGTTGACTACCCTTTTAAGTGAGCAATGCAGGGGTGAAATTTGGAATATGCAGCAACATTCGGGAAAGGGCCTGTGTGCGCACTTGAGTCCCCCCGATGATGTGTGCGCGCGCTTGAGTCAACAAGTGTGTGCGCAGATGAGGCACAAGGACTGATAACGTGTGTGTGCGCGCTTGAGTCGAATCCGTGTGCGCGGATGAGGCGCTGCCCCCTTATTACCCGCACCTGCACCCCGCACTGTTTGACGCACCAACAAGACGCAC